GGAATGGAAGGTGTGCAGAGGCCTCTCACAAGCTCTCTGCCAGCTGTAGAATGCACAAATGTTTTATATCTGGAATACCAGTCAAATGTGGAATGTACCCATCAGAGATGCTTCCTCTGTCTGGGTACAGCCCAACAGTGCGTAAATAAAAGCATTCGATTTCCGTGTTGGTTAGGTTTCAAAGAAGTACATAAACTGCTGCTGCCCCAGGCTGCAGTGAAGATGCATGTTGTACCTGAATCTTAGGTCTCCTACAGTAAGGGAACGAATGCCAAGTTTATTCAGGGGCATGACCTCCCTAGCAAAACAATTCCTTTGAGTAGAGCAAAACCTTTGCTTTAAATCTGTAAAAATCAGAACAACTGAAACACCTTCACTGTCAGCAAGCAATAAAGCAAAACCCAATGAAATAAAGAAATATGTACCATGAGGTTTGAAGTATTATTATAGAATCATAGAATTTGCATAGAATTGTCATACAGAAGAAACATCAAGCAGTCAACAGAAGGCAGAAAATATGATATTTAATTTCCACAGTGAGATTAAATAATTTTCATCATATACAAACACAGCTACTTTATTTTAGATAGACATGAACAGCTAGAATATTCAGCCTGAAAACAAATGACAGAAATGGCAAGACTTCTAAGAATGGGTGAACTGAGATGATCTGCCATAATCAAATAGAGCTAAAGAGAGTTTGAAAACAAATGCTGGTGTTTAAGTAGTTTACAAAACCTTTTGGAGAAAGGAGGAGAAAAAAATTATGTCCTTTTTTGTTATTTCTCACACCCATCTACATATGTCTAATGAGAACAAAAATCTCAGGAGATAAATTACAGATATTGTCTGTAATTTAATATATACTTAATATCATGTTGGGGAGAGTGAATACACCTCTATGTAAGAGAAGCTGTTTGGGAAAATTAAGAACGAGGATTTTTATTAGTTACTGGTACATCTGCTAGGTATATTAATGGGAACCATCAAAGGAGATTAGTTAGGATGAATACTATAACCATGAGAAACCCCAAAACTAGATACATTCTTTAGTTCTCTTTCCATTTGGATGTGTAGAACATTGTTTTTGGAGGATGACAGTAGAAAAAACAGTATGTCATCCACATTAATGTCATCTAGGTACAAGTGTGTTGCAAAATCATGTCTGTGCTGCTAAAGTTGCTACCACACTTCAGGAGGGGTGACAGAGAGAAACTGGAAAGTCTGTTGATGCGTTTCATTAACACAGCAGTGCTTAGGTGTTAGGAATCATTGCTTTTTGCTTCTGCCTCTTGACTTTCCAGCAAGGCTTTGGATGATGGTACTTCTCCACCCTCTGCTCCTGCATCTAAAAAAGACAGAATTAAACATTTATACCACACACACATTCTCGCAGCTTTTTTAATGCAGTAAATATTTGCGTTCACTGGTCGTCTCTGTTTGGATTGGCTCTTTATTACCACAGTCATGGGTGCTTTAGAAAGAGAGGTTAACTCAAAACATGAAGAACTTGCAGAGGCATCTTCCAAAAGCAATCGCCTATTCATGTTGATCTGCCTGCTCCTTGCACATGCTGATCACTGTGCATTTGGCTATAAGAAACAGATTGGAAATAACTTTGTACTACCATTATTCTTTTTTTAATGGGTCATTTCCAAAGTCAAGTTATAATATTGCATTCCTTTGAGCACTACTTGGTTTCAGGTAGGTAACATTACAGTTTATGAACACACCGGTTATCTGTCTGACCTTCTTTGCCAAGAAATATGTACCTGAATTCACCCTGTCTTCACAAGGTGAGGAATACTTTGTTACTCTGATTTAGAAGTTCACTCTTTCTTAGGTTAGAGTTGAATGCTTACATGACTATTATAAGTAAAAGCTCCCCAGAGTGCCTGGTCATTAGATGAAGAGTTCCACGCTGTTTCTTTTGATGCTTAAGTTTGCTTCATGAGAAACAGGAACTTTTCTTGCCTTGATTTCCTTGTAAACCATAACAATTTTCCCACTACCTTCAAGTCCCACATGGCAGTATCAGTGAAAACAGAATACCCAAATCTAAGACAGCCCATAGTTTTTGGGGGCAAGGAGAGGTCTGCTCAGCACATCTGGATGTACTGTCTTCCATTTTAACGGTAGTAATCGAAGGGGTACATTTTCAGCCATTTGCCCTGGAGACTTGATGTAAAATATCACAAACACCCAAAAGAGTTATATATCTTGGTCTCTATATATCATAGCAAATATATAATGCTGTACACAATTAATCAGGTAAAGCTCATGGCAGAACTTGCTTGATGTTTTAAGTCTGCTCAGAGGTTTGAAGGCTTCAGAGTTCTATACTGGTAAATAAAGAACCAAGTTATTCAACACCCTTCAGCATCATGTAGCACAGCACTGTTGTGGAAAGGGAGACAGAGCAATCTCCTCTACTGGCTGCTTCTGTGAGGGATTGGATGTCTAATATAAGTGGAGTCTTGCACACAGGGTAGAGGAAAACAGTTTGTTAGACGAAATATAATCTCATAGTTAGTAGCACTTAGGCATGCAACAGGTGCTAAGCTGCTGAGTGTGTCAAGATAGTTATACACAGTCACCTAGGAAAAAAAAATAGTGAAAAATAAAGGTTATTAGCAGAACGGTGCCCTAAGGCAGATTATCAAATGTGGGAGACCAGTATAGCTTCTTTGCTCTCAAATTTCTTGCAGCCTCCTCTTCAGCCTTTGGAATCCAGTGACACCAATCAACTGTCTAACATGGTTCCAGTACGAGCTCTCACCAGACCACCTGTGGAAAGTCTCAGCCCTCCAAAACTTATGCACCACCAGAGGATGATCAGGAATGGTCTTCATTTCAGAGTTAGGCTCCAAGATAACCAGCTGGTGTCAAAATCTCTCTTGTTCATCTCATGACAACATTAATTTGGTGTGGCTTGTAGAATACATGGGCATTTGTATCACACTGCTATGATCCTTGTATATCCATAAAGAATAAAGCAAAGTCTCTTTTCTTTTCTAAACCAGACAAAGAATATTAGCACATCCTGTTCCTGACTTTTCACCATGACAGTAGCTGACAGCATTTCAGAAAGAGTTAATGTATGATCCAGCAAGCATTAGCTAAATTTGAAACAAGATGGAGAGAGTCCTCCTCACCACTTCCCATAATCTTCACTGAATCTGAATTTCAGAGCAGAAAAAAATAGGGCATACTTTATATAACCACATGTTCCATCTTCTCCAGTTCTCTCATTTATCCAACTTCTTTGTTCTGATCTGTAAATGACTTTCATTTTTTAACAACTTATTGTTAAAGCCAGAAACAGGCAAAACCTGATGCCAGTTAGAGTCCCAGATGTTTCGCAGTTTCCCTGTCACAGTATTTGAACTTCAAAACTGTCTTTCCTTTTTGATGAATTTTCCAGTTTGCTTGCTGCCTCATCAAAGGTTTTACTTACAACACAATAAGGCTGTAATTCCCATCTGATACTTGTGGAATTCCCATCCCCAGAAAGCATCCAAGCCATCAGAGTGGACCTAACTGCATCCTGTATTCATTTCCTATTATCACAACTGTAAGCTGCTGATAACAGAATCTGCTCCCTTTCATCATGCTCTGGCACAGCTGTATGTCAATTACAAAAGGACAATTCCATGCTCTTAACTGTTCTTCAAATCCTGGCAGTGCTGGACTTTGTATTTTTAAGAAAGCATCAGTACATTTTGCTAAAACTAATGTTGCTGTGTTTTATTTCTTCTTAATGCATTTGGATGGTGACCAGGAGAGGAGGACTGTTCTGTCTGGTGGGCTAAATACTCATTTTATGCCATGCTGTA